CTATCCCTAAATTCCTAAGCATGGCTAAACATCTACTTCTCAGAATCTGCGCTTAAGGAGAAAATGCATCCTCACAGTACAGAGAAAGAAGGGGATAAATTGGCATTTAATGAGCTGATCATAGTGACTATCCACCAACTATGACATGACATTGTGAGTGGGCATTGGAGGCAAGTGTAGCAGCAGATGGCAAGCCTTGCTCTTCAGCACCTCTACAGAACTTTACCCATCATTATTTTGCTTTGATTTTCCTATCCTGAAGTTCAATGTTGATTGCTTCTTTTTTATTTTTAATTAGTTCACAATAATTATTTAAAAATACAAGGGTGGTTATTTCTACTATGAAACTGAACATAATTCACTTACATGAAGTATGCCAGGTCAGTTTTGCTCTGTCATATTGAGACAATATAAATACATATGTCACCATTGAACTGACCTACAAAATAATATCTTAGAGTTACACAGGTCTTAGCAGAGTTGGGTCTGGATTCCAAGCATCATGATGTCTTGTCCAATATTGTTTGAACCAGCTTTGCTACTTCTTTTGGGGTGGATTTTTTTTCTTCAGAAATATCTTGGGTAGTAGATCCAAATTCTTGAAATTTAGTTCAGAATATATTTAAAACCCCTTTTGTATCACTTGCAAAAATGCAGGTAAAACGCTTGGTTTATCCCTATTGCAATTCTTTTGCTCTTTGACTTAGCCGTAGAGGTGGGAACAGAAGTTAATTTGGCAGACTAGAGGGTCAAACTTGTTAGTCATTTTGATTTTAATCCCAAGTGCTTTCTTTAGCATAGCTAGTTATGGGTTAGGCTTAATTCCAGGGCTTGAGTGTGCAGCCAGACTACTGGCAACAGATTGAATTATGTAAGATTTTAAAGTGTAGCTAAAAACAAGCAAACGTGGCCTCATGATGATAACAAAGGTAACAAATTCCACTTAAGTGGCCTTCTAAAGAATGTAAGGTGGATAGAATTATATTTTTACTGCTTTAAATTCTTTGGGGAAGTAGGAAGAGGATAAGTGGAAATGAAAGGAAAATGCAATACCCTGCCCTAGGGCATCTTGGGGAAATTGGAAAAGCAAGGTGACTTTTATTTTTGTTATCTCATAATCGGCTCTGAGACAGGCATGTTGCTAGTATGATTGTCATACTGTATATGATATCATGAAATGATAATCTTTCAAAAAATTGTAATTTAAAGAGAATCAGGTTTTACAGAGCTAATCCTGGTAGATAGAGCAGAGGTTAAAACCTATTCCATTTAACTTTTAATTTAGTAACGCATCATATTTTATGATCTTATTTTATTTGTTCTTCACTGCAATGGGAGTAATATCTAATTTTTTTAAAAGAGGGTAATTAACATTTATGTGCCGTATAAGCACTCACCAAGGGAAAAAAAAAGGATCAAGTAAATAGTAGAATGCATATATTTAAGTAAGTTGATATCCAATATTTGATAACACATAGTTTTGAAGATGCTCTATAAAAATGAAACTACAGGAAGAATTAAATTTTGATCTTTTTCTCTAGAGGCAATAAATATATTTATTCAATATCATGTCAAATGTTTGGAATTAATATAATAATACTTTATGTTCCTTTAAATAATAGATATAAGCAGTAGATATTGAAGAAGAGCATATTTGGGAAATCTTGGTATAGCAGATGTTAGTGAAAGTGTGGCCCATTCTAGGGAAGTACTTGTATTTGCTGGCATGAGCCACAGTTTATGAGTACCAAGCATGAGGGTGGAAATGAAAACTGGAACTTTTTTGTAGATTCAATTTGTTAATAAAGATGGTATTACGGAGAAAACAAACAAACAACAACAACAATAATCTTAATGATTGATTTCTCCATAGTCAATGAATTGTCCATGTAATCAATCCAAAGCTATCTTAAAATGGACAAAACCACAGACAATTTTAAAATTTCCTTTCCCCTATGCTAAAGTTGTTATTCCTTCTGAATAAATTCTAAGCCTTAGAAAACTATATTTTTATGCTGAAGACAAGGTAGCTATCAAAAGCTCTATTTTTTTTCCTACAGTGGTTTTTCAAAGTCCGTATTAGATAGACCAAACTGTCCAAAATTTATGGGAGTGGCCAAACATTTTACATATGATCTGTGTATACTAACTTGAATATTTAGAGTAAGTTTGCCACAGCGCACTGTCCCCTTTGATAAAAAAAAACTGATTACTTCCTCTCATGCTAACCAGATAATATAGAAATTTCTCTGATCTTTAGCCTAATTAGCCTTAAATATTCAAGGTTAATATATGAGGCATATAGCACGTTATTTTTATGACTTAGTATGCATTTTGAAAATTAGAAAATGTGTACTCACACATTCTCATATGTTTATATGAGCATGTCATACATATTGATGTATTGTATGTATACATAAATGTACATGTGTATACATACATATATAATCAATGCATCCAAATATTGGAAGGGACTTTAAACATCATCTGCTATAACTAACATAGATAAGTACATTCAATTTACAATAATGTAGTTCTATACATTAAGCAGGGTTTTTTTGTTTCTGTTTTTTGCTAGGCAATGGGGTTCAGTGACTTGCCCAGGGTCACACAGCTAGTAAGTATCAAGTGTCCGAGGTCAGATTTGAACTCTAGTCCTCCTGACTCCAAGGCCAGAGCTCTATCCACTTCACCACCAAGCTGCTCCCATGCATCAAGTAGTATAGTGCAAATACTAAAGCTATAACATCAAAATTTCTTAAGAGGAAATGGTTATAACAACAAAGATGTTTCAATTGTTCAATCAGATTTATACTATTATTAATTGTTATTATTATTATTATTAGTAGTAGTAGTAGTAGTAGTAGTAGTAGTAGCAGCAGCAGCAGCAGCAGCAACAGCAGTAGTGGTAGTAGCAGCTGCAATGGTATAGTTGGCATTTATATTAAGCTTTAGAGTTGGTAAAGCATTACATATATTTTATCTTATTTAAGCTTCATAACTTTCTGAGGTATGTACTAAAAGCACTATCATCATTTTATGTGAATAAACTAAGGCTCAGAAAGGTTTAATGACTTGGCCAGTGTCACACAGATTGCAAATCTCAAGCATTAGTCTTCCCAAATCTAAGTAATCCAGTTTATTGTGGAAGTGTTCTTGTTGTTTGTCCTTCATTTTTGAAGAGGACCAATAACATCATGGGGTTATATCTTGACTCTTGTGTGAATTGAATTTAAGTGAAGCAGAGTTGTACAAAGTCCTGAACCTCACTCTCCCTTCCAGAGTTATCAAAGTCCAGTGGCAGCACAAAAGTCACGACAATTGACAATGGCCTAGGATGCAGTGGGTGACCTTGATGTCTTCTATGTCTGCAATGTGTGTTTAATGGGAAGGGTATTATAAAGAGTAGGCACTGGCATGTTTGTATCACTCTCTACTTGGGAACTTTTAGATCTACAACTTTGGAAAATGTTATTTTTTTCCCATTATGGTGCCATTAATGTATTCAGGCTCTCTACTTTCTTAAGATCACTAGATTCTTGAAATCATTTCATGTTGTTTTCTGATCCTCAGATCTCTCATCTGTTAAATGATTTTATTAAACTAGATAAATCTTGAAAGGATCTTAAAGACTAAAATTGTGGGTATTAATTCTATGAATTCAGATTTATGCCTGGGATAAAACCTTTATTTCATTACTATATTGTTTGAAAATATTCATTATACTATTTAGCAGCCAGTCTTAGGAAATTAGCTAAAGAAGAAGTAAAACATTTAATATTGCATCAAATGTTTCACATTGTCATAAAACATAATTTTAAAGTCTAGAAAGATAGGAAAATATTAATTAACACTTAAAAACTATACATTGACACTTCACTTGACCTTAACTTTCAAACTCAGTCAATACCTAAATACTCCTTTCGTATATGGATAAAGCCATTTAACATAACATTTTTGGACAGCAAAGAATTATTGGCCTAGAAACATGAACTGACTTTGTTAATACCTTAATCTGTTCAAGCTATTTGTAAAGCAATGAAAAGATCTACAATGTTAACTATATTTTTTCTTTCAATATCTATATTTCCATAAATATTTTGACAAAGTATAAAACTTTTTTTATGTAAGCCCTTTATCGTGATTAGCAATTACTTAGTTACTTCTAAGGATGTGTACAATATCATAAATATGGGAAAGAATATATTGATACATTTTGTCACTCTGTGCCACTCAAGTAAATGTCCTATCCCAAATCTTAAACAAGGGATCTCAATGTATTGTGAATTCCCACTACGTCTCTTAACCCTGTGTAAAAACTAGTGGACAGCAAAGACTTTATATCAGCTATCAATTTGTATTTATTATTACATGACTGACTCTCCTCCTCTTTCCATGGGGCCTGTCTTTGGTGATACCTTATATACTGATTTTGCTGTACAGTTTTTCATTCAAGAAGCACTTGCTAATTATGTACAAGACATTATGCTGGGTGGTGGGGTCATACACACACATAGATACATATAGTATTCTCTACTCTTAAGGGAGGAACTTACATTCTATTTAAAGAATATCATATGTAAACAGAGCAATATTTAAACGATCATTTAATAAGGAGAGAGATTGATAGCATATGCAAACTAAGTGTCCCAAGAAATGGAAATGATGAGGGAAGGAATTCCAGGAATGGGGAGAACTGAATTGAACCAAGTAGATTGGTGTTTCTGTGTGGTCATTTTTAAGTCATGTCCAATTCTTCATGATCCCATTTGGGATTTTCTTAGCAAAGTTACTGGAGTGGTTTACCATTTCCTTCTCCAATTTATTTTACAGATAAGGAAACCGAAGGAAATAGGATTAAATGATTGTCCAGGGTCACAAAGCTAGTAAGTGTCTGAGGCTAAAAGGTGAGTCCTCCTGACTTCAGGCCCAGTATTCTATGCATTGTATCACCTAGCTACCCTGGAACTTCAGTAATGAAGGGTAAATAAAAGTCCTGTTAAGCTCCAAGGATAGAGTAGCACAATACAACATCCATCCAGGCTTAGTGACTTAGTGAATAAAACCTGTGATTATTTTCCCTAAACTTCAACTCATGATGAAGGTAAGCTGGATTCTTAGGGAAAATGAATTAATCAGGTTACCTATAATTGTGCATCTAACTTTCCATGTCTCAGACACTTAATTCTGAAAGAGGTATGTATTTTCACCAGAAGGACAATTGTTTCCCCAGTATTCACAGAGGGTAAAGAGAGGAGAAAATCAGAAACATAATAGTTATCTATTAAGAAAGAAAGATGACAAATTCCTTTGTCTTTGCAAATTACCTATCAGTTTATTTGAATAATTTCTTCACTTCACTGAGAGACTTGAAAATCTAGACTAGATAATCTTCATACAGTTTTTTTGCTAACCATATAAGGCTTAGATTTCACAATTCAATATCTATAATGTTTTTCATTATATGTCAATATGAACAATGAAAAATATAAAATGTCTTTTTTTTAAGTAATTGGGGTTAAGTGACTTGCCCAGGGTCACACAGCTAGTAAATGTTAAGTGTTTAGTCTGAGGTCAGATTTGAACACAGGTCCTCCTGACTTCAGGGCCAGTGCTCTATCCCCTGCACCACCTAGTTGCCCCCTAGAAATGTCTTTTTTTTAAAACAGTAACAAAATTAAATCTGAGGTATATAAAATAATGATGAAGTCAGTTATGATAAGACATTGAAAAAGAGACTTCCAGTAATGATGGTGACAAGAAAGGTCATACAGGAAAATAATTCTTTCTCATATTTTCTATAAAAAATAAAAAAGGGCACCAGGTCAAGTAATATTCAAGAGATCTAACAAAAAACAATTATATACTCTTCCTCCCATAGAAGGATGACATTAAAAAGATAGCCTGAAGCCTAGGGTTCCAGGGAGAAAAGCCTCTCCTAGGGAAGCTGGTGCAAGCACAGGTAAATGGGTTACAAGCCTTCCACAATGTCAACCAAGGATGTGTCAGATGCACCTGGAGATTTGATGTTCTCTGACATACAGGGGGTATGGAGAAGAAAACCAGAGCACTCTGAAAAGTGATGCTTCAAGTAGTCATGAAGTCAGAAGTGCTCTGAGGCAGTGCTTGGTATAGTAGACAGAGCACTGGGCCTGGAGTCAGAAGATCTGAATTCAAATTTAGCATCAGACATGTGCTTGCTGGGTGAGCCTGAGTCACTTAATGGCTTCTTGCCTCAATTTCCTTCAATATAAAATGAGAATAATAATAGTACCTATCTCTAAGGGTTCCCTCAATTTCCTTAACTAAAAAATGAGAGTAATAATAGTATCTATTTCTAAGAGTCCTTGTGAGGATCAAATGAGATAAGGGGCACACACACACACACACACACGTGTGTGTGTGTGTGTGTACATATATAACATATATCTGAAACATATGTCTGTGTACATATACACACATATAACATATATGTGTATACACAGATATATAATATATATGTGCATGTGTATATATACATGTATACCATATATAGATAAACATATGTATACATATGTGTATAAGTACATGTATAAACTGTATATATAATACAAATATACACACATGTATCTGTGTGTTTAGCACAGTGTCTGATATAGGAGGCACTATAGAAATGTTAAATCCCTCCTTTTCTTCCTTTTCCCTCTGTCCTTATTGGAGGGAAGGTAGAATCCAGTGAGACATGAATCCTGGCAGAATCAAACAGGGCTACATAGATCTGGCACAAAATTCTCAATCAAAAGCTGAGTAAAACTCAGAAGATATTGAAATATGAAAAAATATTATTGGTCAAGGAATGCCACAGAGGTAAGTCTTGGGGGGGATAGTATTAGTTAAATGAGATACTTTTAAACTGTTTAGCACAGTGCCTTGCACTTAGTAGGTGCTATATGTTTGTTCCTTCCCTTAATGGTACAATCAGAATTTAAGTTTAAATTTATATATAAATTTACCCTTCTGGATCATGTCAACAACAAGATAGAGGGCTAGACACTTTCCCCAATCCTTAGTACCTCTCAAACCTCTGTAAAATGACAATTAAGCACAAGGGAGAAAGCAATTTCAGCTCTAACCAGTGGAACATATCAAGAACTCTAGAAATGCAACAATCCAATGAATTGAATGCAGAGAAGGTACCAACCCCTAACTTGCTTACTCGGTTCACCCTTTCCTATCAGCCATCAAGCTCTGGCAGAGCTGTACAAGCCAGCCATGGGCTTGCATCAGAATGCAGCATCTGCCTCATTTCAACCCCTTTGGCCAGAGAAAACCTAAAGGCACAATTTCACTCTGCCTGGCATAGCAACCTGACAGTAGAACTCAGCTAGAAAGCTCAAGAATTAACCTGGCTGGGACACCAGCCTGAATGAATTTGGCATCCAAGTGGGCCAAGGTCTATTCCCACCACAGAAGTCACTGAGGACAGAGAAAGAAGCTGTTAAAAAGATAAAAAGTAGGGGCAGCTAGGTGGCAGAGTGGATAGAGCACGGGCCCTGAAGTCAGGAGGACCTGAGTTCAAATCCGGCCTCAGACCAAACACTTGACCCTTACTAGCTGTGTGACCCTGGGCAAGTCACTTAACCCCAACTGCCTAAAAACAAAAACAGAAACAAAAAGATAAAAAGTTCATAAATAAGTATAATTTACTCTTTAAGACTATGTAAAATATTAGCAGGGGAATAATGGTAGTAGTGGTGGTAGAGTGGTAGAATCTGTGGTAAAGTGTGTCTTTAATATAATAGAGGAATATCAGCAATGCAGAATTTCAAAATGAACACAAGCATCAAGCAGCAACTAGAAAGGCAAAGACATATGAGAAATTAGAAGGAATTCCATTATTAAGTAAATACATCAAAATGGAGAGGAGAGAAGAAACAAAAAGCCACAGAGGGAAATTAGGAGTGGGGAGAACATGGCAGAGCCTGGATGTAGTTCTGATCAATTTTCATGGATTTAAGAGGGGAAAAAAAGAAAAGGGAAAGGAATATCCTAGGGGCAGAACGAATATAAAAGGGGAGGAAGTTACTATTTCTTTTTATTGTGGTCTAAGATTATAAGAATGTATAAAGAGAAAAAGCAATGGAGGCAAGAACACATCATGAATGTTATCTTATCTCTGAACCTGACAAAGAAAGTTTGAACATACACCTACATAAATACACAAACAACAAAGGTTTGCGTAGATATAAATTCAACAGGAAAACATACGCAACGAGGAGAAGGCCCATGGGAGAACCAAGATGAAGGTATAGTCAAGGAGGGAATAACCACTTGCAAAAGAAATTTCAACTTTGCAGTGTCAGACATAAGGATGAAGTAAAAGAAAAGAAAATGAAGAAGTGGTTAAGAAAAATAGTGACCAAAATCTAGTCTAGGTGAAGAGAGTAGGAGCAATGGCACAGGAACAGACGATTTCAACTACGGAATAATAACGTTTATTACGTTTCTTCTCTTTCTTGATGTTCTTTAATTAATAAAGGGGAGAGGCAAAGAGAATAAAAGGTATGAAGGTACAATGGAGGAAAACATTAACAATCATAACAATAAGCACGAATGGGATGAATTTAGACATAAAACAGGAAAGGTTAGTAGAAAAGATCAGAAAGCAAAACCTAATAAAGATTGACCAAGAAACACACATGAAACATAAAGTTTTACATGGAGTTGAAATAAGGGGTTTGGATAGAATTGACTATGGAACAAGGAAGCTTTTTTAAAAAGGGGGAGGAGTTAACAACTAAGATCTCAGATAAATCAATAGTAAAAACAGATGCATTAAAAGACACAAGCAGGGAAACTCCATTATGTTTAGGCACCATAGATAATAAAATATCGGTACTTAATATTTCTGCACAGCAGAACATATTATGTAAGGACTTCAAATTTATTTGTTTACAGGGAGAAATAGAGAGCAAAACTATATTCCTTTTTAATACTTAGATAAAAACTAAAAATCAACAAGAAATATGATAGATCTCTGCTAGCTACTGAATGGGAATAGAAAAGAATATTAATATTATAGCTATATACAATACCTTGAAAAATTTTTCCATGTGCTAATTTAGAAAAACCTCAGAGCATATTTAAAAACACAAATATAATAAACACACAATTTATTAGAAACAACATAATTTAAAATATAATCTACAAATCAAAGGAAGGATTCAAAATTAAATACATTCTAAAAGAGTGATGGAGTCAAAAAATAAAAGAGAGAAATCACAAGAAATTTCTCCTGAAAGGCTGCCAACAAGGCAACAAGAAGTCTTTTAGATGCAGCCAAGCATTTTTTAGAGAAATCTCTAAATATTTTCCAAATATTCTCTAAATATTTTTATTAGTAAAAGAGAAATAAAATTTCAATGAATTATACATGTAACTCAAAAAATAAAAATACTTCAAAAACCACAAACTAAACAAAAAAAGAAAAATTTTGAAATTCAAAGAAATAAATAAAATTTAGTTGTAAAGTATAATCAGTATCAGTGCTACACAAATTATTGTTAAAAATTAAGAAAGAAAGCATTCTGTCTTACTACTTTTATAAGAAAAAATTAATGTCTAAGTCAAAGAAAGACAAAGCACAGGAGAAATATGCACCAATATTTTAACATATTAATTAAATTTGTTAATTAAAATCCTTTCAAAGACATTGTAGCAAAAAATAAATATACATTATGACAAGTTGTATTTATACCATGGATGTGAAAATGGTTCAAGAATATAAAGAAATCAGGGCAGCTAGATGGACAGTGGATAGAGTTCCAGCCTTGGAGTCAGGAGCACCTGAGTTCAAATCTGTCCTCAGACACTTGACACTTACTAACTGTGTGACCCTGGGCAAGTCACCTAACTCCAATCACACAAAAAAAAGAATATAAAAAATTAAAACAGTTATTTCTTTAGATGCAAATTTTTAAATAAACCATAGCACTCATTTACCCTGAAAACAACACACTGCAAACCATAAGCAGAAATGACTTTTTTTAATATTATAAAAAGTATATATCTAAAGCCAAAAACAAGTATCATATGCAATTGGTATACACCAGAACTTCTCCCAAAAAGAGAAGAGGTGAAAGGAGTATGCGTTTATATAGCCCCTACTATGTTTCAATTGCTTTTTTGTAATTATCTCATTTGATCTTCACAATCACCCTGAGAGTTAGATGCTATTATTATCACCATTTTATAGTAGGAAAAAAAATGAGGCAGAGGTTAAATGACTTGCTCAGGGTGACACAGTAAATGTCCAAAGCTAGCTTTGAAATGAAATCTTAACTCCAAGCCTACTATTCTTGTCAATGCACCACCAGCTTCCTTTATAAATATAGGAGTAAGCAAGCATGCTCATTCTTTCCATTATTATTTATCATAGAACATGAAATGCCAGCAGTAACAACAAGATAAATTAAATGAAAGCTATAAAGGTAAGCAAAGAGCAGATAAAAAAATAACTACTCTTATTTGCTGATGACATGATGATTTCCTTAGGAAATACTGCAGAATTGGTTAAAAAAATTTGAAAAAAGTTTCAGTAAATTTGGAGGCTACAAGATAAACTGCCCCAAATCAACAGAATTTCTACATAATGAACAAATTCAAGATGTGATAATTGAAAGGGAAGTCTCAATTCTAATAACTACAAATGCATAAAATATTTGGGGATCAGTCTGCTAAAGCACACAAAAGGCTTGCATAGATATAAGTACAAAGTGTTTATTAAATAGAGAAAAATTTAAATAGCCTGTGAAATATTCAGTGCTCATAATTGTGTCAATCCAATAAAATAAACATGATAATACTACTAAAGTTAATTATAGTTTCAATGGTATATGAATAAAACTCTCAAAGGAACACTGTATAGAACTTGTTAAAATTACAAAATAATTCTTTTGGTGAGGCAAAAAGATCTAGAATATAAAGGGAAATAATACAAAAATAGGGATTAAGGGGAAATAGCTCATCTAGACCTGAAACTACAAATCAGTAGCCCTCAGGACCATGTGGTATAGGTTACATGAAATAAAAAAAGAAAAGATGTAAGTCAATGGAAATTCAATAATAGAGTTCAGCAGACCAGAAAATATTTATATTTAGGAGTTCTTAGGAAATAACTGGAACAGCTAGGTGGTATAGGGAAGAGAGCAAGAGGCCTGGAGTCAGGAAGATCTAAATTCCAATCTGGTCTCAGACACTTACTAACTGTGTGACCCTGGGTAAGTCAGAACTCCAATTTGCCACATTTCCTCATCTGTAAAATGAGGACACACTAGAGAAGAAAACGGCAAATCACTTCAGTATCTTTGCCAAGAAAACCCCATGGACAAAGTTCCTGGGGTCAAGTAGATTTGGACATGACTGAATGACTGAACAAGGAAACAACTTCTTATTTAAAGAAAGGGCTGAGAAAACTGCAAAGCAATCTGATATAAATTAACCCTATTCCATATTTTCATCATATTAAAAATCATTCAGTCTAAAAGTTAGAAGAGAAACGTCATCCGTGGACACAAACAATTTTCCTCACTTTCCTCAATTGTAAAATGGAAATAATAAAAACACCAACCTAACAGAGTGGTTAAGAGAGTCAAATGAGATAATATTTGTAAAATACTTAGCACAATGGCTTGCACGTAGCAAGGGTTAAATAATGCTGATTCCCTCCCCCAATTTAAAAAGTTAGAAGGGAAACAGATCATATATCTCACACAGATATTGGTAAGAGAGATATTCTTAAGCAAAAACAACAAAAAAATTAGACAGTTATGAAAAAATTAAACAGATTATTTCCATGAAATTAAAACAAGCAATTACATGAGAAAAAAAATATAAAAATTTTCAAATAAGGGTTTGGTATCTAGGAAGTATAGGCTATATATCTATAATACATAGATTATCTATATTTCTATGTATTATAGATATATGGATTATCTACAATTAGAGATGTATATCTTCATATTATAAATATTTAGGTTTCACTATAACTATATATCTATATATAGAGATATATATGTCCACATGTCAGTAATAAATAAAAACATCTATAATTATAGATCATCTGTAATCTATATAATATAGATACACATCCTATACATCATAGGTATCAAATTCTTATGTGAAAAATTGATATATAATTCTATATAATAGATAATGTAATATATTATAATGTATATACTATAGTATATACATACTGCATTATGTAAATTTGTATGTGCGTGTATATATGCCTATTTCCTACATCATATACATAGATATCATGTATCATTTCTATCTAATAGTTAACATTCATACAGTAGTAACTATGTGTCAATTATTGTACTAATTTCCTTGCAAATATTATCTCATTTAATCTCCATAACTACCCTGGCATATAGATGATATTATTATCTCTATTTTACAAGTGAGAAAACCAAGAAAAATTAAATGATTTGCCAATAATTACAGAAAACCAATAAGTGTCTGAAGTCAGATTTGAACTCAGGTCCTTCTTGACTCCAGTCCTGGCACCCTAGCCACTGCAGCCCCAGCTAACCTATATAGTCCCTGATAGAAAGATAAATAGAGAGATAGAGATAGAGATAATAAACATATATATATATATATATATATATATATATATATATATATATATACACATGTGTATATGTGTATACATATTTTCTATAAATCTTATATAGTAAGTCCATATATTGAAGGATTATAGATATAAATGCAAAAATAAATGGATAGATAAACATGAAAAGTATTTCTCAATAGAGCTGTTCAAAAATTATGAATTTTACAATATTAACAAGCATATGAAAAATGCCCCAAATCACTAAAACTAAAAGACGTGCACATTAAAACAGTGCTGAGGTTTTATATCATAGCCAGTAAATTGGCAAAGATGAGACAAGGAAGAGAGAGAGAGAGAGAAAGGGATAATCCATTTAGTGGGAATGTGGTAATATAAGCATGCCAGTGTACCATTAATAGAATTATGAATCAGTATAAATAATCCTTTTGGGAACTAATTTGGAATTATGCCAGTAAAATTACTATAATGTCCATACCCATTAAGTGCTGGATTCATATATACCAAAATATTTAGAGCATCATTGGACTGTGCAGTGGGGATACAAAAACTAGCCCCTATTTTAATGGAGCTCACTGTCTTGTGCATATCCTTATGACTTCCAGCACTATGTCATAGCAGATTACTGCAGGAATACTCTTCCCTCTCCACCTGGAGAGGGAATGAAGTTGCAGTCACTTCATATAATTAAATTGATCCTTACACTTTATAAGAGTAAAAAGGAAAGAGATAAAGTGAGCTACTTTGTCATTCCCAATATTACTAATACTGTGCCCTGATTGATTGTGTTAACTGAATGTTTCTGACTTTTGTTTTATCCTTAATCATTGTAGTTCCCACGTGGTGGGAATTGGTGTTTGACATATTTTTTGGTTTTCTTTCCTTATTTTCCTCAAGAAAAAAGACACTGATGTATTCTTATTTAGAGAACGCAATAATAAGGGGGAGAGGGAGAAGATGATGTATAAAATCCAAAGAGTTGAGAAGTAGTTTTAACAGTTCCAGGACTTAGTGTATATTTTAAGATGCAAAGGGGATGGGAGAGGGATCATATTGTAACTCCTTAAAAAATATCCATGTGGACAGATGGAGAATAAAGAGGAAGGGGAAGGAAATGAAAGGTAAGGGAAGGGAAGGGAAGAAGGAAGGAGGGAGGGAGGCTGAGTTGCCCAACTGGAAGTGGCCAGTTGGGTCCCCAGTGGGACAGTTCAGACTACTCACAGATTCTTGTGTCCTTCATTCTCAAGGAGGACCATGACATCAGGAAGATGATGCCTTGACTTGCAAGTGAATTATATTTAAGTGAGTAAGGGCTATGCAAGGACACCATTCTCACTTTCTCCTTTGGAGCCATCTGGGTCCAGTAGCAAGATATAGATCAGGAAGATTAGAGATTGCCCCGCTTTCTGAATAGTAAGGAGAAGGGTAACAAGTTAAAGGAGGTTTGCCATTTTCAATGGACCAGCAGGCAAGATGCCTTTAAGTTTTTAATGAACTTTTACAATCACTTGTTTTATATTTAGATAATATAAACACTGACACAGCTGTTAGGTGAAATGACTTTATTGCTGTCCAAGCACTTGTACTTGGTAGTACATGAAAAGATTTTGATTTCATTGTTCTGTTGTGGTTCTAAAAAATATTCTACCTTGTACAAGAGCCTTTAGGAAGACTCTATGGTCAGACCTCTGATGTCTTCTTTGCAGCCAGCAGTTTAACCGCGGTGTTGTATTCTTTAAATCAAGTGATGGGGGAAAAAATTGAAGTTTGTCTTGAATTTTGGTTTGAGGAAGCCACAAATTTGACCATGACAACCATTTACCAAAGCTTTGGTACAAAGAAACAAACAGAATCAGTTTTCCCCTTTTATCAAAGGTTTGCTCAATAAACAACAGAATGGGGTTCACCTTAAAAAAAAGATTTGATCAAGGAACAAACAAGCAGGCTGTACATGTGCTTGTACAAGCCTATTTATTCTCATTCAGCCAGAAAATAATGCATACACGGGAGTCAGAATTAATTCTGAATTCAGAGGTAGATCTGAAGAAGACCATTATACACTTAGAGAAATCCCAACCTAGGATGTCTGTGTCAACCAAAATTCTAGTCTCCATATGTGTTAACCATAACATGAGAAAGGAATTTCCTAATAGAATGGATTGTAAATGCAGTAAGTGTTACAGTGTCAGTTGAGATTATAGATTCAAGATGTCTGTGTTTCTCCTATCATTAACATGATATAACATGGCATAACCTATTCTTCAACATAGTGTCTGGTTCAAGGTGTCTTGTCCTTGACAGTCATAAATAGAAAAATGTTCCTGGTCAGCTTCATCCAGCCTTGTAGTTTCTGACACAGGGAGGGCCATTTTGAGTTCACTCAGAGAGCAAAGTAAAGCATGTCTGTTAGGCTATGGTGCCTCTTCTAGTTGATTGGTTGATTTGGGCCCTTATCAGGGCTCAAATGGTTTTAAGTAATTATCAGCCACTAAGCTAGATATAGAAATTAAACTTCCTGGAAAATTTTGCAGGTTTCAGCAAGGTAACCTAGAACCTAAAGTGACATTTGAAAGCTACTATAAAGAGGTACTTAGTGTCCCAACTGTGGAGCACATAATTCAGGAGCTGAAGGATGTCTTTTCTGAACAGTACCTCAAAGCACTAAATTTTTTTTGTCTTTAGTGCCTTCTGTCATGGGACAGCTGAAATTTAGTACATTGGAGGAATACCATGCTGATATGTACAAAAGTGTCCTTCCTAATCCAAACACTCTTTCTGCAGAACTTCATTGTTGGAGAATTAAATGGAAACACAAAGGAAAAGGTAATGAGCTTCTAGCACCAACTTATGAAGCTTTGCATCTGCCAGACATCATTTTTCTGCTAATGTTTATGCATTGCTTAAAGTACTCTGTATACTCCCATTGATGAAGGTTGAGAATGACAGATATGAAAATGGTTGAAAACATCATAAGGCATACCTGAGGGATACTGTCAAGTAAAGGCTTTGTTTAACATAAACTTTGATGTAAAACATGACTTAGATTTAGTGGTGGACATTTACATCAAACTCTACATAAGTAATTTGGCCTCCAAGAAGAAGTTCTTCCCACAAGTAATTCAGAGATAACTGAAAATACATAAGAAAATTGACCAAAATAGATTTTCTCCATGAATTTACACATTGGGGGTTGAGAGAGAAGCCCTGAAATATTGATAGGCCACTTAATCATTGAAGACAAGTTTGCCTTTAGGTCTCCATTTGAATATGTTAGCCATTGATAATCTGCATTTTAAACTGCTATTCTGTGAACTGAAATTCTTTGAAAATCAACCTTCCAAAATATAGAAATGCTACATTTCATTTTTGTGTGTGTGTGTGTGTGTGTGCGTGTGTGTGTGTGTGTGAGTGACTTCTCCTGGTATCTACTGCTCTGGAGATATTTTCATTAACTTCATTCTGGACATATGATTTGTGATTATCAGGGATCCAACTAAAAAGTTTGGCAGTATTTTAGTTATTGTAAATATACATACACATACACACACAAACACACAAACACATACATATACATACAAACATAAACATATACATACAAATATATACACATACATGCATACACATAGATAGATAGATAGATAGATAGACAGAGAGATAGACAGATATAGATATAGATATAGATATAGATATAGATATAGATATAGATATAGATATAGATATAGATATGGATATGGATATGGATATGGATATGGATATGGATATGGATATGGATATGGATATGGATATGGATATGGATATGGATATGGATATAGATATAGATATAGATATAGATATAGATATAGATATAGATATAGATATAGATATAGATATAGATATAGATATAGATATAGATATAGATATAGATTAGATATGGATATGGATATGGATATGGATATGGATATAGATATAGATATAGATATAGATATAGATATAGATATAGATAGATATAGATATAGATATAGATATAGATATAGATATAGATATAGATATAGATATAGATATAGATATAGATATAGATATAGATATAGATATAGATATAGATATGGATATGGATATAGATATAGACATGTACTGGGAGAAGTGGGGAAAAATTAATCAAAATGAAGCTCACTACTGACCACTGACTCCTATATGTTTGTCTGTTTGTTTTTAAATATTGTACCATTGACAGTAAAAAGATATATTGGAGGACAGTTCATACCAAACCATGAACTCGTACACATTTCCATGATGACTCTGACTTCATCAAGTAAATGCAAATGAATGAGTTCACTTTAAATTTAAGTAATAGAGTCAATGTTGTTCCTCATAAATGAGTGATTGTTGTGGTTTACATTCCTTAGTTGGGGTTCCACAGTAACTGTTTCATGAACTTTTCATAGGTATACATCAAATATCTGGTTCTATGATCTTAAATCCAACCTCATAAACATAAAAAACCCCAACTCATCTTGTTTGGATTTGTCCTGCCTTTTTCCATGCCTTATCTTAACTTGTAAACCTAAGCTGGAGAATTTGCACATTAAGATTTTGTGGTTATCTAGGAGTAATGGAGGAAATATTAGTCATTTTGGTGAAGAAAAACAATTTTGTATAGTTTATTTCATTCTAAATAAAATGTGAATTTTCTTTAATGCTCAAAAAAAAAGGTCTTAATCATGATCACTTTAACTTGACATAACACTCATTACTTTCTAGTGCCCTGACTTTCCCTTTTTTTGTCTTTAAATATTCAGCCATTTCATCTGTATTTTGGCTGTCCTATTCATCTCTTTAGGATCAGAGAATGGATGTTGAGCTAGATGGGAATACATAAGCCATAAATCCTAATTTTTTTCATTCTATAGAAGTGAAAATTAATCTCCAAAGAAGTGAGCATAGAGAAAGCAAATGGCAGAGCCAGGATTTGAACCCATGGTCTTTGACTCCAAAATGAGTGCTCTTTTCGTGGTAGTTCATTTTCATCTATTTGTGTCATATTCTCAATTGGGTCCTCTCTTTGACAAGTAATAATTTTTCAGCTTTTCTCCCTGCTGCTAAAAGTGTTCATAATGTAAGAACTGACATGTCAAGGTTGACCAAAACAAGGCAGCCCTCACTAAGCCCTTCAGTTCCCGCTGTGCTCAGAGGAATTGGACATAATTGCTTTGTTCTTTACTTTTTATAATCACATTAGATCAACTGAATATTTTCTTAAAGACATGACCTAAAAAATGGATTTTAAATACTATACTTACTCATTTCTTCCAAAGATATGCAATTTGATGTGAAGCATACTTCCACTGACACAAGTCAAAAATTTTCAAATAAAAGAAATGGTATTCATGAGTTAGCAGAAAAAAAAAAGATGGATAGACACATGAATACAATCATAAAAATTTGATATTTTTCACATTTATTCAAATGATTACTATATGTGTGTTTATGTACATGTATATACTGATATCCAAATGTGCTCTCCTCACAGTATTTCAGTGGCAAGCAGAAATAAGAATTTCTCAGTGATATGTCTGATTTCCACACTATAGATAGATAGGTAGATAGATATGTGTGTCTTTATTGTAAACCTCTGATCCACATTTAGCTAGGCTGGCACTTGGGCAATTAAAAAAATCATCTAATTTCAGGTTTGTTTCCTTCCAGAGAAGGGTCCTTCAATGGAAAATCCATTTCATCACCCTTTAGGCACTTTCTGGCCTGCCTCTTTCCTCACTGACTGTTTTGCCCCAGAGAGTATAGTGTCCTCTAACCCTCAAACCCTTTACAACTTTCTACCTACACTTGGCTCCTTAACTTCCTAGAATCTCCATGTAGGGAGAAGACTGAGACTGTCTGTTCTCTACTACATCTCTACGCATCTTTCATCCTGTTCTACCTCTACAACATGAGCTACATAGCCCCTCGTAGACAATGATAACCTGTCCAAACTCCTTCTTCAATGATTAGTATACAGCATTTTCATTGTACCAACCGCATTCCCTGTTCCCCATTGCCCACTCTCTTGTTCCAGTTACTCTCAAAGTGACACGTCTCCTCAACGTCCCACTCAAGATCCACTCACTTAGTTGACTATGCTTTCTAGAGTGACTGCTCCATAAGTAACAAATTTGTACCTTGAACCTTTTCTTTTCTTTTCTTACTTTTTCCATCTTTTTGTACTCATTAAGACATGGTTGTCTTTAGATGACAAAGCATCTTGCCCACATTTTTCATCACTGATTGCACATTCACCTCTTCATTGGTAATGTTGGGGGAGTTGCCATTCACTACCACACTTACCCCAATGGCTTTCTCAAACCTTTTAATCTCCCCTCAAATTTCCCATGGCTCCCTTTGTCTTTCAGAGATAGACTATCTCCCATTTCACACTCAAAAGTATATAAGAATAATGAAAACAAATCACTTTAACATTTATAGGTGACTAAGAATTAATTTACATAGTATATACCTTTTTATCACCAAAACTTGTTTTAGGATAGGCATATGTTTTTTATTAAGGATTTAATATGGATTTTTAATAAAGTATATACTATCTCTAATCCTATTCCATCTAATCCTATTCTATCATCTAAACCCTATTTTGCAGATTATCTCTAAGGTTTCCTCTAGTTTTGAAATTATTTGCATTATTCTTGCTTCTATTCCTCACTCCCTAGACATTTCTACCTCTTCACCAGTAGCCTTGTCTCTGTAAGGTTACCCTTCACCTTCCCTGCCCATTCAGTACACTGATTTCCAGATCCCTTTTATGTATTTTCTTCCCTCATTAGAATGTAAACTTATTGAGGAAGAGATGCTCTTTCTCTCTCTCTTCTCTCTCTCTCTCTCTCTCTCTCTCTCTCTCTCTCTCTCTCTCTCTCTCCCTTTCCATACATATATATATATATATACACACATACATATACATATGCAGATATATACATACACATACACACACACACATATGATTTGTATTCTTAGTGCTTAGCGTTGTTCCTGGTACATAGTAAATGCTTAATAAATGCTTTATTTATCCATCCACCCATATGTCAGACTGTCTGCTTGTTTAAGTAAATAATGTATCTGTGGTCAGATAATATATAACTCAGACAGTGCATTGTTATTTTCTTCTCAGATGATATCATAGCTTAACATTTGTTAGACTTTGAAATAGTCAAAATTTGTATATTTGAGTAGAGGGTGAATAATTTATCAAATTGTTTCTTTTTCCATTAGTGATTAAGAAAGCAAAAACATTCTTTATAACCTAAAGATTTGTTAATTGCCAAATTTTAATGATGAAAAGTCTTATTCTCAATATTATACAGCTATGACCTCTGTATAATTTGTAATAAAGATAAAATAAAATATCTTTAAAAAATCTTTACTCTCTCTCTTGCTGCTAATGAGTTTCTTTTACTTGATAGCATATAATATTATTCATTGAAATCCCCAAATCCTGACAATGTAGAAATATTTATTTTCAGACATCAGTCATAAAACAATTCTTAATGTCTTTAACTAACCATATAGAAAATGGAATATTCCTTAAGAATCATAAAATTTCAGATATGGAAGCAACTTTAGACTTCATCTAATGTGTGGCTGAATAGCAATTAGATCTGTTGCTAGGTGATCTAGTGAGTAGAGAACTAGATCTGGAATTAAGATCTCTAATTCTGCTTAGGCCTTTACTAGCTCTATGAACCTGAAAAATTAACCTCTAGAAGACCCAGCTTCCTCATCTGCATAATAGGGATAACAATAGCAACTATTTAATAGGGTCTTTGTGAACTTCAAATGGGATAATATTAAAGTGCTCTGTACATAGTAAAGTGCTTTACATACTTTAAAGCATTGTATAAATATTAACTATTACTATCTAGAATTTTATTGAAGATCTACACTATGGAAGATTCTAACATCATAATGACTATCTCCCATTTCACACATGCAAAATACCTATTGTTATTAAGCTGTTCTTTTTATTGAGTCTTCTAAATGTATACAATTTCCACTCATTAATCCTTGTTACAACAAGTCTTATTCCTCTTCCATGTGACAACTCTTCAAATACTCAAAGATGGCTTTCTATCCACTTAAATCTTTTTTTCCTTTGGATAAAAATTCCCATTTCTTTTAGCCCATATCCATATGGTATGTTCTCTTGTTCTTTTATCATCATTGTGATCTCTGGTA